CAAAAGGAGACATTAAAAGGCTTCTGGCAGACCTGCGTGAAGTGTGGAAAGCCGAACTGAGAGAGACTCAGGAGAAGCTGGGTGACCTCCTCCAGAAAGTTCAAGCGGTAGAATTCAGGGAGAGCACCTAGGGTCAGGTAGAAAGCCTGGCTCAACAAGTACAGAGGCTCAACTGGGCGGTCTCAACAATAGAGTCCCGCCACAGACATCGGAACATTCGCTGTACACCTCAATTGGTCTCAAGAGGGGAGCTGACTCCACGCTGCTATCAAATGCATTTTGGATCCACAAAGCTGCAAAGTACCAGCCGGAGCACCGAGAGACACGATAGTGGTCACCAGGGATGTTGTGGTTCGCGCTGCCATTCTGGCCTACTCCAGAGACCTGGGGAAGTTCCAATTTGAAGGTTGCACAGTAGCAGTATTCAGCGACTCACCGTTTCTCGTCCTGCTGGAAAAGAGGCTCTTAACTCCAAAAGCTGGTCGGCTGAGGGAACACTCGGTGAGGTACTGTTGGGGAGGAGATGGTTCACTGATTGTCCCGCACGGAGACACCAACCTGACCCTGACCTCCTTTGGGGAGAAGGAGGCATTCCAGTGACAACTAAAGCTGTCAGCTGTGCCAACAGAGGGAACAGCAGCTCCAGGCAAAGGAACTGTGACATGAATAATATTGCGCTTTAGGCCAGTAGTTCTGTAACCAGCTCCAGATAGCTAATTTGATAATTCTGTTTTTGGGCTGCCTTAGTCTTTAGTTACCCAGTATATAAATCCATTGTTATAAACTGCCTGGCCCAAAAAAAAAGTCGCCACCTGGATTTAACTAAGCAAATAGGTAAGAGCCTCCTATTGGATAGTTTACTGCATGGGAAATTATCTTTCAGCTGGCAACAAGTTATTTAACCTCAACTGATGCAATGAGTAGCTTCTCATTTCTTAATCAACCATGTCGAAAGACACATCCCGTAGTTGTGGAAAAGATGTTAGTCTGTTTGAGAAGGGTCAAATTATTGGCATGCATCAAGCAAAGAAAACATCTAAGGAGATTGCAGAAACTACTAAAATTGTGTTAGAACTGTCCAACGCATTATTAAAAACTGGAGGGATAGAAGAAGAAATGTGGTCGAGAAAAACTACTGATTGATCGTGATTGGCGATCACTTAAACGTTTAGTGAAATCAAATCGTAGAAAAACAACAGTAGAACTTAGGGCTATGTTTAATAGTGAAAGTAAGAGCATTTCTACATGCACAAAGCAGGGAACTCAAGGGGTTGGGACTGAACAGCTGTGTAGCCTTAAGAAAACCACGAATCAGTGAGGCTCATCGGAAAAAAAGGCGTCAATTTGCTAGGGAGCTTAAAGATTAGACTCTGGAGCAATGGAAGAAGGTCATGTGGTCAGATGAGTCCAGATTTATCCTGTTCCAGAGTGATGGGCGCATCAGGGTAAGAAGAGAGGCAAATTAAGTAATGCACCCATCATGCCTAGTGGCTACTGTACAAGCCTGTGGGGGCAGTGCTATGATCTGGGGTTGCTGCAGTATGTCAGGTGTAGGTTCAGCAACATTATGTGCCCAAAGAATGAGGTCAGCTGACTACCTGAATATACTGAATGACCAGGTTATTCCATCAATGGAAAGAGTGGTTCAGGCAGCATCAGACATGATTTTCACACATGGATTGGTCACCAATCTTAACCCCATTGAGAATCTTTGGGATGTACTAGAGAAGGCTTTGCACAGTGGTCCGACTCTCCCATCATCAATACAAGATCTTGGTGAAAAATGAATGCAACACTGGACGGAAATAAATCTAGTGACATTGCAGAAGCTTATCGAAACAATGCCACAGCGAATGTGTGCCGTAATCAAAGCTAAATGTGGTCCAACAAAATATTAGAGTGTGTGACTTTTTGCGGGGATCAGGCAGTGTATGTCTTTGTTTAAAGGGACCATATATACATATACAGTAAATGAATCTGGTGCCTTATATATTAGTTTGAAAAGACTATATGTATGCAGTATATGAAGCTAATGTCTTATCTCTTAGTTTATATGACTATACACATGCAGCACATACACCTATCGGCATATGTCTTAGTTGCAGTGACTATACGTATGCAGTATAGGAATCTATTGTTTTATATCTTGCCTCACAACTACTATATGTATGCAGTATATTAATCTAATGCCTCATATCTTAGTTTCAAATGACTATAGGAATGCAATATATGAATCTATTGCCTTATGGCTTAGTTTAACTTGACTGTCTGCCTGCAGCATATATATATATATATATATATACATATAACCCTATTGCCCTGTGTCCTTGTCTGGAGACACTATATACAGGCAGTATATTAATCTCTGGTCAGATCTCTTAGTTACAGCGACTGTACATATGCAGTTTATGAACCGAGTGCCCTATGTCTTAGTATGAAGCGGCTATATGTATGCAGTAAATGAATCTAATGTTACATGTTTTAGTTAAAGCGACTACACATAAGCGGCCTTAACGGCCTTATCAGCTCTAAACTCTAACGAAATATGGCATAAAAAAACAAATGATCCAAAAAACAGGACCGTTCAACAACAGAGTATGAGGTATACCAGAAGAAATAAAGAGTGAAGAACTAAAAAACTACATGTTGGAGTTTTTAAAAAGAATTAACAGGCAATTTAGAAGAAAAGGAAAACATCCATAGGATCTACAAATCCTCAACATTTTCATAGCAATATCCAAGAGACGTCATTGTATGCATCTGTAACTATTCTATCAAAGAGAACATTTGGAAACAAAGAAACTTTAAAGAAAAAATCAATGTCAATTAAAAAATAAAAGATACTGAACAATCTCTCAAGTTATACCGGACAGCAAATAATTAATTTAGGACCTATCACAGAAATCCTAGGTGAATTAAAGGGGGGGGGAGGGGTGGGGGGAGTAGGATTTATGTGTGTTTTTATTTATTTTATTTCTTCCCCTCTCACACCAATATCTCCTTATTTTTCCACCTAGGCCTCTTCCATTCCACATTTATTTAAGATATCTTCATCCTATCCACACTCTATCTACAGAGGAAGGGATAAGGGAAAAGTAGGGGAAGAAAGAGATATGGGGAAAGTAGAAGAAGAGGAAAAAGAGGAAAAATATAAATACTGTCTAGACTATATACTCTGCTTAGCTCAGGCATTCCCTCTTCCTATGCTTTTACCTTTTCTTAGCGCTCTTGAGACTCGACCCCAGTCTCTACTTTTTAGCATTGATTTAAAGCTTGTGAATGTTTAATTATGTACTTATAGAGAGTATCCTGAAACCTCAACAATTTGGAATGCGATTCAGGATATTCTTACATATGAATGAGATATATGTAAGATTAATTTTTCAAGAGATATTCTTAAACGCCTAATTTTTGCTCAATTAATGTTCAAGGGTTGAATGCAATAAATAAAAGGAAAAAGTTAATAACCACATTAAAACAAGAAAAAAATTGGGCGACTTCACAGAAAAATATTAAATTAGATAAATTATCCTCACCAATTTAGGTCATGCTATAAAAAAAGAGTAGGGGCATGTTAATTTTAATTAAAGATCTTCTCGCATTTGAAATTATATTAAAAAGGAGGAAAATACATCATTATAGTTTGTAAGATTAATAATTCACTATTTACAATCATAAACCAAATTAAAATGCACCTACATTTTTCGATTCACTTATGATTCAAATTCAAACAAATACACAAAGTTAAATTATAATTGAGGGAGATTTTAATTCTATCAGCAATGTTAATTTAGATAAAAAATTACGCAAAGGGAAAACACTTAATAAGAAACAAAAATGGGAGCAATAACATTTTCTAATTTTCAAAAAAGAAATTACCTTTTAGATATATGGAGGACCCTTAATCCTTCCTCTACTGAATATACCTTTTACTCAATACTTTTCTGTTCATATTTTTGAATAGATTTGTTTTTGACTGATAGATCCTTATTTAATGAAAAGTTAGATTGAAGAATATGCAATAGTTTGTGGCCAGACCACGCTCCTATTTTTTTAAATATAAAAATTGCAATAAGTCAAATTCTTTAAATATAACAATTTTACATCTCTTCCCTTTAGAGTGCTTTCTTACAGATGAGAGAAGCATTCACTATACATAAATGGAAAAAGGGAGGAGGAGTCTGCGCTAAGTAATTAAAAATATCATTAAGCTGCAACCCTAAAAAGGGAATCCCTCAAAAACCCTTAATAAAATAACAACAGAAAAAAGAAAGGGGGCAAGGGCTGCCCTATCCGTATATTGCAAAGAGTGAACTATATACAATGATTACTGTTAAAACAGAGTCCATACAGGAGTAAACAATAAAAACAAAGTCCATGCAATAGTAGAGATCAAATCATAAAATGTCCAATAAAATGCATAAAATCCACAGAATGCATAAAATTGTCTCACTGATATAAGGATAGGGCGTATATACAATCCTCAGGAGTGACACCGTCCGGGTTGTAGGTGATCCGTATATGTGGAGATAAAAACACAACAAACTTCCAATGGTGTAGTTTTGTGACTTAAGGAGTAATAAAAGTAAAAATGGAGGATAATACACTCACATTTGATGGAGCTTTGACCAGCTCTTGGATGAAGGGCACTTAGCGGTATAATCCCCGCTAGAGGATATACTGTGACGGTTGGTCTGTCCTTCCAATTGGATTTCCGTAGTTGTCCGTAGAATATATGAAAACAGAAATAGTGCTCTCAATTGGAAAAGATAAAATGAAGAAAGTATAAAATAAAATATACTCACAATGATAGAGCAGAAAGTACTGCTCTATATGTACAGCTCTCGTGGAATAATCCCCACCTATGGATTGCTTGAACAGGATACAGTGGGATGCCAGGAAAAATAAATAAATAAATAAAGGAAAGTGTATATACAATAAGATAAAAATTGGTCCTATAACAAAAGGATACCAAATAAAACTTTTTATTGTTAAAATACACAATTTAAAACCATTTAACACGTTTCACCTCTGGGGCTTTTTAAAAAATGGGGCATTTTTGAAAAAGCCCCAGAGGTGAAATGCGTTAAATGGTTTTAAATTGTGTATTTTAACAATAAAAAGTTTTATTTGGTATCCTTTTTTGAAAAAGCCCCTGAGGTGAAACGCGTTAAATGGTTTTAAATTGTGATTGCTCTTATTAGACAGTTTATACAAGTCTGTGGCCGATTAATAAAATCATTATCTATCTCCCAAAAGGTAAAGCTATAAATCAGCCAGCTCTTTAGGGGTGATTATTTAGGGGTGATTATTTCTGAGGACTTAAAGGTCGGCAGACAATGTAATAAAGCAGCAGGAAATGCTAGCAGAATGCTTAGTTGTATAGGGAGAGATATTAGCAGTAGAAAGAGAGAAGTGCTCATGTACAGAACACTGGTGAGCCCTCACTTGGAGTATTGTACGTATTAAAGGGAATCAACACAGTAAAGGAGGAGACTATATTTAAAGAAGAAAAACTACCACAACAAGAGGACATAGTCTAAAATTAGAGGGGCAAAGGTTTAAAAATACTATCCGGAAGTATTACTTTACTGAGAGGGTAGTGGATGCATGGAATAGCCTTCCAGCTGAAGTGGTAGAGGTTAACACAGTAAAGGAGTTAAAGCATGCGTGGGATAGGCATAAGGCTATACTAACTATAAGATAAGGATAGGGACTAATACAAGTATTTAGAAAATTGAGCAGACTAGATGGGCCTAATGGTTATTATCTGCCGTCACATTCTATGTTTCTTTGTGCCACGGATTATAGAGGCAATTAGATAAATAAAAATCACAACATTTGCAAAAACTATTAATAATTAATTAAAAGATTATCATGATATCCAGTATTAGCAATTCAGCACTAAGAATTATAAACAATAGACAGTCGTGTGCAAAACAAATACTCCCTTATCATAATCTTGCACAAGGGCAGGTTATGTTCTTGGCCATCTGCTCAGAGTCCAGTATAAGGTCACTTATAGGATAAGTCACTTTGCACAGAGAAACTTGGATCCAGGATTTTACTTTAGCAACAGGAAAAGTTGTGTTGGCAATTACAGTATTTAATAACATTTGAGACCAAGCATGAAGGTAACTAATTACAGATGAAGTCTCAAATGAACACTCCCACTTACATTTCATACCACATTATCTATCTAGTGCACAAGACTCGTTAATTTATTCTGTTATACAGTTTACAAAGATCCTCTTAAACAAAATCTTGCATGTTTATTTTTTATATTTTAGTTTTACCAAGGCAAACAATACTTAAAAGATAACGGCACTCAGCAAATAGAATACTTCATCAGCCAGAAAAAATTAATAGACATCAAACATCAATAAATTATACCAACTGACCACAAACTCTGCAACTTAACAAAAGGCTAATAAAACAGTAACATTTGATATTGCAATCATAACATTTTGCTGTACTCTAGCTTAGACTGATTTTTTTTAATTTAGTTGAAGTAATACACATTTGAATTGTAAGAACTAATAAAAAATACACAGTAATATATTCCATATAATGGAAATCTGCAAAATATGATTTTCGATTTAGTAAACACAATGCAGATATTCTCAAAACTAAAAAAGCATCCTGGTGTAGCTTAGCTTATAACACATTCTATACAACTTTGTATCTATCCTTTTCTCATTATTCTGGATTTCATATCACGAATACATCAACAGGATCTTTAACAAATGTCCTTAATAACAATTACCTTTTTAGCTGTGTTGATGTATTTTGATGATGTCTGCATTTTTCCTTGACAGTTTGACAGAGGGTTAGCTGTCACACAAGGAGTGCAAAGAGGGGGGTGCCTGCTAATTTTACACACAGATTCATTAACCTGTCACCCTCTTGTTTGTTTCCTCATCTGTTGTAAAAATACTCCAACTCCCACTACTCTTGAGTGGCAACAATTGCTATACAACAGCCCAAGCACAGAAAACCGTAATCAAATACATTTTTACACTGGTATCCCTGTATATATGTATAGATTACAATAAATCTATTAGTTATATGCTTTAAAGCAACATACTAACAGCAATACTCCATATCTGAATTTCAGGTACATCTGCATACCTTCTGCTTTAACAATGGGTATCCAACCCATATAATGACACACAGTCACCTTTACACACTGAGTACATTTTCACCAACTGCAGTATTCATCAGATCATTACATATTTCTGTAAGGTATACCATTATATCAACATGTTATATCTTATTTTCTGATCATGTCTCCTTGTATGCTCTTAATCATTTTATTACACTTAATCCATTGTCACATGTTTTAGATTCAAAGGATCCCTTAATATAGTGGGCATTTTCCTTTAGAATTGTTTTGTTTTCAACTCTCATTTACTTATTACATACATGCAATACACTTTGGCTGCACTGGGTCTTAACCCTGTAAATACATTCTCTCTAGAACTTAATATGTTAAAGGAATATTTTAATGGCCATGTATTTACATTTTCCCTGATTAATTTTCGCCTATTTAAATACAAAATACTTGAAGAACTACATTTTGTTTCGTGAGATTAACTGGGGAAGCATCAATTGATCTGCCTTCCCTGCTTCAACCTAATCATTTACAAATAACCACACTACTGTATCACCTTTTGAGAGATGGTGGTCACACTTTTCAGTATCAGACTTACTTGTATTGCACGTACACCAAACAAAATTCTTCTCAACGGATGTAAGGATATGATAGCCAAACTTTAAACCATACACACATATTTTAGCAGGTCACACAGAACTGGCTTTTACCTGTACCATTCTGCACCTGTTCTAGACACGCAAAATTTTAATCTAGTCCCAAGTTATAAAGGTCTAGCTTACCCGTCAGATGACCGATCATTATGAGTGTCCAAAGGGCCAGGCAGGTACAGATTCTGCTGCAGTCTGTGGTTTTCTGACTCTAGACTATAAGTTGCTGAGACCAAAAAGGGTAGACTGAAATCCCTTGCTATTCTCCTGTCCATAGTCACAAAACTACTACAAAATAGTAAAAGGAAACTTAACACTGGACAAACTGCAAAAAGGAAGCTTTTCACTTATACCTTAATAATACCTAATGTCCTTCAGTGGGTGCACAGACTCTTATACAGGGCAAGGACTTTACTATTTACCTTATGCCAGTTAAGAGACAAATAACTCTTACTGGCGGCTCTGAAAGGGACTGTAAACCCTTTCCTTGCCAGTTTAGGACTTAAACTAATGCTGACGCTTCTGAGAGAGGTTCTCTTGGTAGTTGAGGGACTTTAACCATCACTGACCACCAGTGTGACCTGAATCACACCTTAAAATCCCAAATACACTAGATTTACTATTTACCTTAATCCACAGATAGGGTAAGGATTATAAAACATATCTACTCAATCTCAGTGTGGAGCCCACCCACTGCCACCTCTTTGTTTGAGGTAAAATATTACGCTGCTGGGCAAAGTGTTCCATGCACTTTTAGACCGAACGTTCGGGGAGAGCCTTTCAGTGATACACAGACAACGTGTTTCAAATTGGGCTACTACCAGTATATTAAGGGTCGGGCAAACATATTTATAAACAGAAGTTGCAGCAAAAGTAACATGACAAGATTACATCAACTAAATTTCTTTCAGGAAGTGTTCCGGAGGATTGGAGGAAGGCTATATTCAAAAAGGGTTCAAAATCCTTGCCTGGAAATTATAGACCTGTGAGCTTAACTTCTGTGGCTGGTAAAATATTTGAAAGGTTATTAAGGGATAACATTCAAGAATTCCTTGAGAAGAACATGGTCATCAGCAAAAATCAGCACTGTTTTATGAAGCACAGGTCATGTCAAACTAACTTGATTGCGTTCTACGAAGAAGTAAGTAGAAGTATAGATCAGGGTGTTGCCGTGGATGTGATCTATTTGGATTTTGCCAAGGCATTTGATACAGTTCCACACAATAGATTAGTGTTCAAACTCAAGGAAATCGGTGTAGATGAAAATGCTTGTTCTTGGGTAGAACATTGGCTTAAAAACAGAGTACAAAGAGTTGTCATTAATGGTACATTTTCAAGCTGGACAGAGGTGGCAAGTGGTGTCCCTTAGGGGTCTGTTCTGGGACCCCTTCTATTTAACATGTTTATAAATGATCTTGAAGAAAGGCAAAGGAAAGGTTTTTTTTACTGTAAGAACAATCAGAATGTGGAATTCTCTGCTTGAAGAAGTGGTTTTATCAGAGTCCATACAGATGTTCAAACAGCTACTAGATGCATAATTGCAAAAACAGAATATTCAAGGATATAATCTTTCAATGTAGGATAATAACTGCTTGATGCAAGGATAAATCTGACTGCCATTCTGGGGTCAAGAAGGAATTTTTTTCCCAACTTGTTACAAAATTGTGCTTCAAACTGGTTTTTTTTGCCTTCTTTTGAATCAACAGCAAAAAACAAATGTGAGGAAGGCTGAACTTGATGGACGCAAGTCTCTTTTCAGCTATGTAACTATGTAACTATGTATGTAATGTAAGCATGTTTTTGAATGGAGTATGTGTTCATGTATGTTGATGTTTGAATGCAGGTGTGCATTTGTGTACACTTCCACATACACAGACACATACACTGACACACACATACACACATATATATACCCACACACAGATACACTGACACTCAAACATTGACACAGAATACACACACATACACAAATACAGATACAAAATGACACAGATACACAGACACACAGAAACATACTGAAAAACACATATAAACTAAGAGAGACACATATTGAACTAGACAGACACGCACATACATACAGGCATACATACTTAAATAGACATATAGACACACAGACATACATACTGACACACAGACACATACTAAAATACATACAGACAGACACACACACACACGCATAAGGACATGCAGACACACATACATACTGACATAGATACAGATACACTTACACATGCAAGCATACTGATAAAAGCACTACGGAATTTGTTGGCGCTATATAAATGATAATAATAAAAAATAACATACATACATACTGACATACATACATATAAACACACATACACACATGCCTACA